ATTTATTTATTTATTTATTTATTTATTTATTTATTTATTTATTTATTTATTTATTTATTTATTTATTTATTTATATGCTGCCCTTCTCCGGAGACTCAGGGCGGCTTACAATGCGTTAAGCAATAGCCTTCATACTTTTGTATATACTTGCTTAGTAGGGCTTCCCCCCCCCCCAAGCGATGTTCTCTTTTATACAAAGTCAGCTTATTGCCCTCACAATCCGGGTCCTCATTTTACCTACCTCGAAAGGATGGAAGGCTGAGTCAACCTTGAGCCTGGTGAGATTTGAACTCGCAGTAATTGCAGGCAGCTGGTGCTACCTAATAGCACTTTAGTCTGCTGCACCACCAAGGCTCTTATCCACCCCTCTACCTACCTACACCTATCTTGTCCTACCTATTGAAGCAGAAGAGTTTATGGCGAGGAGGAAGAGAATGGGTATGGAGGAGGAGGATGACAATAACTGTAGGCTCCTTGGTGCTCTCTGAGCTTGGTAGTTTTCTTGCAGACATTTCATTACCAAACTAGGTAATATCATCAGTACTACCATTCTCTTGCAGTGAAAGAGGCTGAGTCTCTGACCCAGGAGCGTGTGATGGTGACAGAGGCCATCATGACATCAATTGGGTAAGTATGTCATAGCCTGGCCAAATATTAATGAAAATATATGTTACTCATAACATTATATTATTTTAATTACTCCAGTACAATAATCTTGAATTCCCAATCCTTCACATTACTGAATTACTGGGAACCAACACCTAAGCGAGAGAGGACCCTTTCTTATATACCTTGATGGAATATAAAATGCACTATTACTGAAGCTTCTTTAAAAACATATTTGCACTAACTTGCTGATTGCAATTATGAAGAGAGCAAAAAAAGAAAAAGACTATGAATAATATTTCTTTGTCATTTTAGTCAATGTTGCGCAGAGATGTGTAGTGTATCTCTATTTTGGTTGACATTGAAAGCTTCACTTGTTCAAAGACTGTAAGAAAGTTATGGTCTTTAAAAAAAATATATTTGAGGTTCTTAAATATTTTTTTTATGAATTCTGCCATGGTATGCTGGAACAACTGTTTGCTTCAACTATCTGTTTAGAGGCCCTGTGAATTCCTTCCTTCCTTCCTTCCTTCCTTCCTTCCTTCCTTCCTTCCTTCCTTCCTTCCTTCCTTCCTTCCTTGCTCTTCCCTCCCTCTCTCCTCCCTCCTTTGTTTCCTTCCTTCCTTCCTTCCTTCCTCCCTTTTCCTTTTCTTATTCCTATTCTCTTCTCTCCTTCCTCCCTTCCCTCCTCCCTCCCTCCCTTTCCTTCCTTCTTTTGTTTCTTCCTTCTCTCCCTTCTTCCATCCTTTTCTCTCCTTTCTTCCTCCTTTCTTTCCTTTCTCCCTTTCCTTCCTCCTATTTTCTCCTCCCTCCCTCGTTTCCTTCCTTCCTTCCTTCTACAATAAGCAATTAAGGCTTACATACAGCCCCATTGGCTTCTATCCACTCTGGCTTCCAGATTCAATATTGGTCAGGAAAAATGGCTAGAATAAAAATCTATATAGGAAAATGTGACTCGTTTTTCCTTTTTTTCAGAGCTCAAGCTTCTGAAGCTGGAAAAGGTAGGGAAAACTGTCAAAACTTTATATCTACTAACTTTCAAATGTTTTTTTATGTAACTCTGGCTTCTATTTCATAGTGTCTTTTCTAATAATGATCAATTTCCCATTAAAAACATAAATTTAAAATTCTCCCCTCACACTTCAGCTGCTTTCATTTTGTAATAATAAAACAAAATTGATGGTGGAGGTGAAATATCTTTGAAGGTCTTTGGGCACGTTTGAAATGTTAACTTTTCTTGAATAAGCTTGTTCAGATCTACAGTATTTAAAATTTCAGGTCTGTTCAGAAATGATATTACAGAATCTCTAAATCAGATCAACAGCCTAAACCCAATATGGCCTTGGACATAAACTGAATTGGAATAAACAGAGTCATTTTTCAGAATCAAATCAATGACTCAAACTTTTTATTTATATTCTGCCTTTATTATTTTTACAAGTAACTCAAGGTGACAAACATATCTAAAGTGCTTTCCTTCTCCTATTTTCCCCACAACAACAACCCTGTGAAATGGGTTGGGCTGAGAGAGAGGGACTGGCCCAAAGTTACCAAGCCAGTTTTCATGCCTTCGTGCAATACTATATCTCACCGACTCCTGATGATTGGCCCATGGTCACCCAACAGGGTTTCGTGCTTCAGACAGGATTAGAACTCCCTGTCTCTTGGTGATTGACCCAAAATCACCTAGCTGGTTTTGATGCCTAAAACTGGACTTGAACTCCAGTCAGCTTACCCAGCTGACTTTCATGCCGAAACTCACAGTTTCCTGCTGATTGGCCCACAGTCAGGTAGCCAGCTTTCAGGCATCATGTGGGACTAGAATATACTCTCTCCCATTTTCTAGCCTGATGCCTTCACTACTAGACCAAGCACCATGTTCTTTCTTTTTTATCAGGAGAGCACATGGAAGGAGAAACAGCTCGGAGTCAGATTTCTCTAACCGAAGTGGGAACCGAGGAATTTCTGCAGAAACTGACATCTCAGATCACGGAAATTGTATCTGCAAAGATAAGTCAAGGTAACAGAGGTTCAAGTGAACTAAATGCAGGAAAACACTTGAAAATATTGGATTTGAGGCTATCAGTTTGAGATAGGACTATTTGGAAGGGGGAAATTACCTGAGTGAGCATTAAATCAAGTTGATAGAGATATAAGACCAAAGTTTGTTGCCTCATTAGAACAATCCCTTAGATTTGCAATGAGAAATGTTTGCTTGTAAACACAGAGATGATCAAGGGTGTGGCTGCTAAACCATATGATCAACAATTGAGGGAACTGGGAATGTCTACTTTACTTTACTTTACTTTAATATTTAAATTTATATACTGCCTTTCTCCTGAAGGATTCAGGGCGGTGAACAGCCAGAAATAAAAAACATCAAATACAAAATATAAAAACAATTTAAAAATGAATTAAACAATTTGGCCCGACAGTTAAAATCCCCCATTAAAAATCCAAATTAAAATACACAATTGGAGAGATTAGGCCAGCCCGACTTGATGAAATAAAAAGGTTTTAAGGGCCCGACGGAAAGTATGTAAGTCCGGAATCGTCCGTATCTCTGGGGGGAGCATGTTCCAGAGGGCAGGTGCTCCCACAGAGAAAGCTCTCCCCTGGGGGCTGCAAGTCGACATTGTTTGGCCAACGGCATCCTGAGGAGCCCCTATCTGTGGGAGCGTACTGGCCCGGTGGGAGGCTCTCGGTGGCAGAAGGCGGTCCCGTAAATATCCCGGTCCTAAGCCATGGAGCGCTCTAAAGGTGATCACCAACACCTTGAATCGCACCCGGAAGATCACCGGGAGCCAGTGCAGCTCACGCAGGAGAGGTGTTACATGGGAGCGCCATGACGCTCCCATAATCACCCGCATGGCCGCATTCTGGACCAGCTGGAGCCTCCGGGTGCTCTTCAAGGGAAGCCCCATGTAGAGAGCATTGCAGTAGTCCAGGCGGGAAGTGACGAGGGCATGAGTGACGGTGCGTAAGGAGTCCCGATCCAGAAAGGGACGCAACTGGCGAATCAGGCGAACCTGATAAAAAGCCCCTCTGGCCACGGCCATCAAGTGCTCTTCTAAAGACAGCTGTGAGTCCAGGAGGACACCTAAGTTGCGAGCCCTCTCTGTGGGGGCCAGCGACTCGCCCCCAACAGTCAGAGATGGCACCAACTGACTATATTGGGACGTCGGAAGCCACAGCCACTCGGTCTTGGATGGGTTGAGTTTGAGCCTGTTTCTCCCCATCCGGATCCGTACGGCCTCCAGACACCAGGACATCATGTCAAGGTCATCATTGGGGTGGTCCGGGGTGGAGATGTACAGCTGAATATCATCAGCGTACTGATGGTACTTCACCCTGAAACCATGGATGATCTCACCCAGCGGCTTCACATAAATGTTGAACAGAAGGGGCGAGAGGACCGATCCCTGCGGCACCCCACATACAAGGGGCTTCGGGGTCGACCTCTGCCCCCCTGTCAACACGGACTGCGACCGGTCGGAGAGGAAGAAAAGGACCAGGGATGACATGACAGCATCGTCCAATATTTGAGGGACTGCCATAAAGAATAGGGGGCCAACCTATTTTCCAAAGCATTTGAATGCAGGATAAGAAGTAATAGATGGAAACTATTCAAGGAGAGAAGCAACCTGGAATTAAGAAGAAATTTCCTGATAGTGAGAACAATTAATCAGTGGAATGATTTATCTCCAGAAGTTGTGGGTGCTGCATCACTGGAGTTTTTCAAGAAAAGATTGGACAGCCACTTGTCTGAGATGGTATAGGGCCATGATGGCGAACCTATGGCATGTGGGCCAGAGGTGTCATGCAGTGCCCTTTCTGTGGGCACGCAAGCCATCGCCCCAGTTCAGCTCTGCCACGCAGGTGCGAGCGCCTCCTGCTGGCCAGCTGGTCTTTGAGTCTCTGCCACATGAGACTCTGCCACCCGGGTGTGTGTGTGTGTCATGCGGGGGGGCCACACGTGCATGCACGGGGGGATGTGCGGGGAGAGGCACATGCATGGGGGCCATGCATGCATTGCGTTTGGGGGGTTAGGCGTGCACTTTGGATACTCGGTCCAGAAAAGGTTAGCCATCACTGGTGTAGGGTTTCCTACTTGAACAGGGGATTGTACTAGAAGACCTCCAAGGTCCCTTCTAATCCCTTTATTCTGTATTTTGTACATATAGACCACAATTGAGTCCAAAATTTCCATTGCTACGCAGAACAGATGCTGTGAATTTTGCCCCATTTTACGGCTTTTCTTGCCATAGTTGTTAAGTGAAGTATTGCAATTGTTAAGTTAGTAACACAGTTGTTAAGTGAATCTGTCTCCCCCCATGATTTTGCTTATCAGAAGGTTGCAAAAGGGGATCACATGACCCCAGGACACTGCAACCGTCATAAATATGAATAATTTGCCAAGCATCTGAAGTTTTGATCATATGACCAAGGAGATGTTGCAACAGTTGTAAGTGTGAAAAATGGTCATAAGTCACTTGTTTCATTGCTGTTGCAATCAGAATAGAACTGGAAGGAACCTTGGAAGTCTTCTCCTCCAACCCCCTGCCATTTCAGATAAAATGGCCATCCAGTCTCTTCTTAAAAGCCTCCAGTATTACAGCACCTACAACTTCTGAAGGCAACTTCTGTTCCACTAGTTAATTATTCTCACTGTTAGGAAGTTTCTCCTTAATTCCAGGTTGCTTCTCTCCTTGATCAGTTTCTATCCGTTGTTTCTTGTCTTGCTTTCTGGTGCTTTGTAACTTTGAATGGTCACTGAATGAACTATTGTAAGTCCAGGACTATCTGTGTTCTCTACTTAATTCTTTGCTAAGAACTTTCTCCAATAGCCTATAAACAGTGGTGGGATTCAAATAATTTAACAACCAGTTCTCTGCCCTAATGATTTCTTCCAACAACCAGTGTGCCAAACTGCTCAGAAACTTAACAACCAGTTCTTCCAAAGTGGTGCAAACTGGCTGAATCCCACCACTGCCTGTAAGTCTGAAGAAAGTCTGGTGTGTCTACAGGACAGAGATTGGGAAGGCTGAACAAAATACACCTGAGCACGTTTTAAGATTGGAATTCTTCTTCAAAAGAATGGAATTTCTGACTATGACACTTTTTATTCACTTTCCCTTCCATTTCAGCTTCCCTCCGAATTCCTGGAGCTGACAGTGACGATGAATCAAAGACACCATCGGCATCTCCACGGCATGGCAGGTCCAGACCTTCCTCAACTGCTCAGGAATCTTCCTCCGAATCCGATGAAGGGGATGCAAGGGGGGAGGTAGGTAGGGCATCTGCAAAATTAACGTTTATGCACGTTTTCCCATAGGGAGAAAAATAAGACTCTTTGGAGGTGAATCGGAAAAATGATTGGTGGGATCCTTCGTGCTCTCTGAGTTCGGTGGTTTTCTTGCAGACATTTCATGACCCAATTGGGGAACATCATCAATGCTGGAAAGGAGGGGAATTGGAGGGGAAAGAGGAGGAACAGGAGCAGGAACAGTAGGATAGGGACAAGGACCGTGGAGTCCTTGATCCTCTCTGAGCTTGGTTGTTTTCTTGCAGGCATATCATTATCAAATTAGATAGCGTCATCAATGCTAGAAGGGAGAGGGGTTTGCTCTCTGTTATATACAGCCTCTTCTAGCACTGATGATATAACCTAGTTTGAAATATCTTCATGAAAACAACTAAGCTCAATTTTCAAGGACCAAACAGTCCTCCTCCTCCTTCTTGCTCCTGCTCCTCCCTGAAAATCCTCCTCCCTTTTAGCACTGATGATGTTACCTAGAAGTGTCTGCCAAAAAAAAAAAAAACAAGTCAGAGAACAGCCTTTGCGGCAGCTGGGTGCAGTGGGGAGAGAGGCACTGGGCCACCTAAGTAGTGAAGTCAACTTGTGCAGTTCAGCTCAACATGCAGGCTGGTGCATATATGCATATGCGTGCAGTCATGTGCACCAGCCTACCGCTCACGCGGTATGGTTCCAAAAAGGCCATAACTCAGTAGTGGCTCCTGGCCCAGGGAGGCCCCCTGGTTCAATCTTGAGCTACAAATATTCTCTTCTACCCTGACCCATGATCTAATGGAATGGCTGTTGGAGAGCAATCCTCCCAATGGGAGGAGGAATGAAGCAAGGAATTAGCCTGGATTTATTATTATCATCATCATCAAACACAAGAGGCTTAGTATGACCCTCCCTAAATGCCTTGATACCTTTTCTGGTTGTTCCCAGGTGAAAGCTGCCAGTCTATGTAGATTCCTGTACTATAGGTAGAATACAATAAAGTAGTCAGCTTGAACTCTGCCTGGGTGAGTCTGGTTGTTCTCACCTGACAACGGCTTCTGAACTAACCTCAAGAATATTTAAGAAAGTGACCCTTGGCCCAATAAAGTATTTATCCTGTTCTATTGTATTGGTATTGGTATTGGTATTGGTATTGGTATTGGTATTGGTATTGTATTGTATTGTATTCTATTCTATTCTATTCTATTCTATTCTATTCTATTCTATTCTATTCTATTCTATTCTATTCTCATCCCATCCCATCCCATCCCATCCCATCCCATCTGGATTCTCTATTTATTTGGTATATTCTATTCAGTTCAATTCAACCATCCTTCTCTTCTTAGATTTTTGACATCTACATGGTCATTGCTGACTATACCCCAATGGGGGCAGACCGTGAAACCATCACTCTGAAGGAAGGCCAATACGTGGAGGTTTTAGACTCCGCTCATCCTTTGAAGTGGCTGGTCAGGACCAAACCCACCAAGTCAAGCCCATCAAGACAAGGTTGGGTTTCTCCAGCCTACTTGGATAAAAAGTTAAAGGTGAGATTTATAAATAGCTTGTTGGTGCGGGGGGGAGGGTGTTCTTCCAAAATTGCTTAATCTTGGTCTCTAGGTTACCATGAATAAGTAAGCCAACTTCTACCCAGCAGTTTCAGTAAAGAGTTACTATAGCTCATATATAGTAATATGCAAAGTACAAGAAGCTCTTAACTTATAACCATTCGTTTAGTGACCATTCAAAGTTACAATAGCACTGAAAAGTGACTTATGACTGTTTTTCATACTTACAACCATGGCAGCATCCCCAAGGTCACATGATCTAAATTCAGTTGCTTAGCAACTGGCTCATATTTATGATAGTTGCATTGTCTCGGATGCAGGTGTCCCTTTTGCACCTTCTTTGATGCATGCCAGGTAGAAGAAGAAGGGAAAGGTCCATTTCAGAAGTAGGGAGGGCAGGGGAGAAAAAAGGAAGCTCTCGTTGTTCTAAACCAAGAGCAGGTTAAAAACAGGAGGGGTTGGGCAGGAAGATAGTCTCATCTCCAAAGTGAGAGAGAGAGAGAGAGAGAGAGAGAGAGAGAGAGAGAGAGAGAGAGAGAGAGAGAGAGAGAGAGTGTAGGAATCTCCCTAGACATTAAGCACCAGGTCCATAGAAGTGGTGGGGAGCGGGTGTCTACCACACTATACCAGGCCTAATATGCAGACTATGGAAAGAGGCCACAGAGACAATCTAACAGATGGCAGCAGGGTGATGTAAGATTCAGGCAGGACCAGTGGTGGGTTGCTCCTGGTTCGTATCGGTTCGCAAGAACCGGTAGTAAAAATTTTTAGTAGTTCGGAGAACCGGTAAAAACATTGGCTGGCCACGCCCCCGAACCGGTCCCCAGCCCAGTCACTGCTTGCTTAGCCCGCCCACCTCATCAACCTCTTTGGCTGAAAAAATGCTTTTAAAAGTTAAAAAAAAAGCCTCTGATGATCGTGCGACTCAGCTGGGATCTTCAGAGGCTTCTGAAAACATTTTTTCTGCAACCTCTTCAACCGAGGGGGTTGTAGGGAAAAAAAATCCCTTTAAAAGCCTCTGGTGATCCCAGATGGCTTGCCTGATTGTCAGAGCCTTCTAAAAGCATTTTTTTCTGCAACCTCTTAAGGTTGTAGAAAAAATGCTTTTAAAAGTAAAAGGAAAAAAAAAAGTTGGCCACGCCCACCCAGTCACATTACCCCCACCAAGCCACGCCCACAAAATAAACCACGCCCACAGAACCGGTAGTAAAAAATTTTAGAACCCACCCCTGGGCAGGACCAACATACACTGAATGCAAAAAGTTGTGCACAGGAGCATCTGCACACAATATGGGCTAGAGAGCCTCCTAAGTTGAGATGGGGGCTCCCATGCTACCGCTATAACTCAGCTACTTCCTATTCTTTGTGTGATAACCTTGGTTGGAAGACCTGTAAGCTATCTTTTAAGGACATCCCTTCCTGGTAGATACCAGATCATAAAATCCTAAACCTGGAAGGGACCTTGGAGGTCTTCTAGCCCAACCCCCTGCCCAAGGCAGAAATCCTTCTAAGGTTTTTTTGTTTTAATATTAGCTGTCTGCGGAGTGGGGTATCCCTGATGTTCCAGAGTTCCATGGAGAATCTGTTTCAGAGGACGAATATCGGAAGAAATTAAGGTGAGCTTGATGAAAACCCTTCCTGTTGGAGCAAACTACTTCTCTGTCAGAAGGGCCGTGTCCTATTCTTATAGCTCGTGATATATAAGAATAATTTCATAGAATCACAGCTTAGGAAGGGACTTAGAAGTCATTGTGTATAACCCCCATCGTGTGCAGGATCCACTAGAGTGGTGTGATGGCCTAGAGGCGCTCTCACCTCACAATCAGGAGGCTGTGAATTCAATCCTATGTAGAGGCAGATATTTCTTTCTCTGGGCACAGATGAGAATGTATTTGCTGAAGAAAACTCCGCATTGGTGACAGGAAGGGCATCCAGCCAGTAAACACTCAGCTCCATTCAGTTGCCCAGACTCCACCCTGCAAGGGATTATGGGGTTGTTAAAAGAAGATGATGATGTGAAGATCTACTAGACTAGAGCGTTTGGAAGGAGACTTTGTGGTATCTGAATATCTAGATTCAGTCACAGTTTTGTTTCATCTAGCATCAACCTTGTGAACTATTAAGTTTCCTCTTTCCATTGTGTATTCAAAATGGACAGTGATGTGTATGTGTGTGTGTGTGTGTGTGTGTGTGTGTGTGTGTGTGTATAGCATGTATATGTGTATTATGTATATGTATGGGTAGATATATACTTTCTTTTGAGAGCAAGCAACAGAATTTCATTTTTAATGTATGCCAGTGTGCTCACAGTAAAAAAAATGACAATAAAAATTATCTTATCTTGTGATCTTTGGAGAAGTCATTGGGGAAGCCAGCAGGGAGTGTCATGTGTCACTTCTGTAAATCACTCCTGCCTCTTTGTTATCCCAGAAGTCCCGGATTAACAGGGGACTCATGGGCAGGGGGCTCTCTGCCTCTTTGCATTTCTGGCACATGACAGCATCCACTTGCCACCCCCTATACAGGTAGTCCTCCATAGTTCATTTAGTGACCGTTCAAAGTTACAATGGCACTGAAAAAAGTGATTTATGACCATTTATCACACTTACAACTGTTGCAGTAGCCCCATGGACACATGCTCAAAATTCAAACGCTTGGCAGCTTACTCATGTTTATGACAGTTGCAGTGTCCTGGGGTCACATGATCCCCTTTTGCGACCTTTTGACAAGCAAAATCAACGAGGAAGCCAGATTCACATCACAACCGTGTTATTGCAGAGATTCACTTAACAACTATGGCTAGAAAGGTTGTAAAATGGGGCAAAAATCACTTAACAATTGCCTCGCTTAGCAACGGAAATTTTGGGCGCGATTATGGTCATAGGACTATCTGTACTTTCACGTTTATCTGCTGAAATTTAGAATGAATTTCCCTGGTCATTAAAGGGTGGGATGTGTTTTCATGAATTTTCATTCTTTTTTCTGTTTCTGCTTCCTCTTTAGCTTTATCATTCAAGACCTGTTGGGCACGGAAGAGGAGTATGTCAAGGATCTTCAGTTCCTCCAAACGCACCACATCCAGTTCACAGAGACTTGTCCTGCCGTTCCTGTTGCTGTGTCCAACCAGAAGCCCGTTATTTTCAGAAATATTACTGACATAACGCACTTTCATTCCAAGTAGGTAGAGGGGAGGCAGATATATAACAGCCAAACGGCTTTTAAAGAATAAAGTATTCTAGAAAAAGTAATTGAATAGGAACGCCTGCGACCCTGTGTGCCACTATCCACTCAAGCAAATGTCCTCTGATATATTAGCCACAATATTATTATTTTGCTTAACAGATAGTCCTCGACTTACGACCACCATTGAGCCCCAAATTTTTGATGCTCAGTGAAACATTTGTTAAGTGAGTTTTGCCCCATTTTATGACCTTTCTTGCCACAGTTGTTAAGCAAATCACTGCAGTTGTTCAGTTAGTAACACAGTAGTTTGGTGAATCTGGCTTCCCTGTTGACTTTGCTCATCAGAAGATTGCAAAAGGAGATCATGTGACCCCAGAACACTGCAACCATCATAAATATGAGTCAGTTGCCAAGCATTCTTCATTTTGATCATGTGACCCCAGGGGTGCTGCAACAGTCATAAGTGTGAAAAATGGTCATCAGTCATTTTTTTCAGTGCCATTTTAACTTTGAATTGTCACTAAATGAACTGTTGTAAGTGGAGGACTACCTGTAGTGGGAATACTGGGTCTAATTCTTTCTTCCACTGAGGTTGTTTAAGTGTAGGGCCTTTTCAATGTTGGCACTCAGAATCTTGTTTCCTGGAAAAACAATTTTCTTCATTTCTCTCACCCTGTTGTCTTAAGGACTTGTTTTCAGGTTGTCTTCAGGATTCATGCGAATGGCAGAAATAAAAACAGGCTGAGTTTTGAGTTCAGGTCTGCCATTTTGACTTTTTATGACCCTGAGGATTTTTTAAAAAGGCATTTTGACAAGGCAGGTTGGATTGTGTTTAACAGAGGACCCTTCAGCTGGAGAAGAAAGCCAGGAATTGGAAGATCATACAGTCACAAGGCTGGAAGGGAGGTCGTTTAGTCCACCCCACTGCCCACATCCTCTTCTCATGTTCCTTTCTGCTATTCCCACAGCACCTTCTTCCCAGAGCTTCAGAAGTGTGACACAGATGACGATGTGGCCATGTGCTTCCTTAAAAATGAAGCCGAATTTGACAAATACATCACCTACTTGGTAGGCCGGGTTCAAGCCGAGTCCATTGTGGTCAGCAAAGCGGTCCAGGAGTTTTATAAGGTGAGGGCACCCTCAACTGAAAGGGTTTTCTGCTGAATTTTTCACCAGCGTGAAAATTAATGACCCAGAATTCTTTGGAAATAGTCCTGCGTTTGTACATCAAGCATGTATCATACATTGGTGAATAGTTTGCTCTAGTGGTGAAGGCACCATGCAAGAAACCAGGAGATGGTACCATTTTAGGCATAAAAGTCAGCTGATTTTGCACCAATCATCAGGAGATGGTGAGTTCTAGTCCCACCTTAAGCATGAAAACTGACTGGGTGCCTCTGTGACAATCACAGGAGACGGTGAGTTCTAGTTCTGCCCTAGGCATGAAAGCCACCTGGGTGACCTTGGCTCAATTCACCTTTGGTGATGGTGAATTGTAATCCTTAGGCATGAAAGCCGACTGGATGATTTTAAGCCAGTCCCTCTCTCTCAGCCCATCCTCATCTCATATGTTTGTTACTGTTATGGGGAAATTAGGTGGAAGAAGAATCATTCGACATGTTTGCCATTTTAAGTTATTTATTTTTTTTAAAAAAACAAAGTCAGGATTAAAAATAAAGAATTATCCATTTTTGTATAAGAGCAATATGTGGATAAGATCCTTATACTTGTATGGTGCTGAAATACTAAACAAGTGCCTAAATCCTAATGAAGAAAGTCATTTCTTTATTAGAGCAAATAATAGAAAAATCCAGTGTGAACGTAGGATGATTGTGTGGTCTGTAATGGAATGAAGGGTTTTCCTGGATGATAAGCAAACTGAATGAATAAATCCTTTACTATTATGTTTCTCTCCCTCCAGCGATACACAGAGGGGACACTGGCTAGTGAGGATCCTTCCCTGCCACCGATGTTCCCTCTGCAACACTATCTAGAGAGACCCATAAACCGGATCCAGAAATATCAAACAGCAATCAAGGTTAGGAGCACAATTTTTAGTCACTTGTTGGTTGCTAGCGCAACAAAACCGGGTCTCACGGTGCTAAGGAAGTTAGTACAAGAAGTCCTCGAATTATGACCACAATTGAAACCAGAATTTCCATTGCTAACCATGGTGATTGTTAAGTGGCTGGCGCCCGATTTTACAACCAGTTTTGCCATGGTTGTTAAGCGAGTCATGGCGGTTGCTACGTGAATCATGTGGTCGTTAAGTGAATCCAGTTTCCTGCTTTGAATTTTGCTGGTCAGAAGCAGGCTGGGGATCACAAATGGTGATCACATGACCCCAGGATGCTACAACCGTCATAAATACATGCCGTTTGCCAAATTTTGATCATGTCACTGAGAGGATGCTATGACGGTCATAACTGTGAGGAGTAATAACTCGCTTTTTTCAGTGTGGTTGGAACGATGAACTATTGCTAAATGAATGGTTGTAAATTGAGGATTACTTGTACAGGCTGTCTCCAGGTTAAAATGGCAATTGGGACTGGGGTTGTTGTTACTAAGCAATGCAGGATAAGATGTAAGGGGGTGGTGCATGAATGCCCTTGGTGGGTGCGAGGGATGGCAGGTCAGTTAGTAGCCACAGAGGGAGGAGAAGGAAAGGAAGGAGGGAGGGAGGAAGAGGGAGGGAGGGAGGGAGGGAGGAAGAAAGGAGAGGAAAGATGAGGGGGAGGAAGGGGGAAATGAGAGAGGGAGGAAAAAGGGAAGATGGGAGGGAGGGAGGAGTAAGAGTAAGAAAAAACAGTGGGGTCCTTAGTGCTCTCTGAGCTTGGCAGGTTTTTTGCAGGTGTCTGATGACCCATCCGATAACATCAATGTTAAAGGGGAGTGGGGTTTGCGGGGAGGAGGAGGAGGACTATGAGATCCTTGGTACTTTTTGAGCTTGGTGGGGTTTTTTGCAGACATTTTGTTACCAAGCTAGGTAACATCATCAGTACTAGAAGGGAGTGGTTTTCCCTGTCAATGTTGATGGAAGTGATCAGTAGATCCTGGATAGTCAATACTGACAGTCTTCCTTCCTTCCTTCCTTCCTTCCTTCCTTCCTTCCTTCCTTCCTTCCTTCCTTCCTTCCTTCCTTCCTTCCTTTCCACTTCAACCATATTTCTGCTGCAAATATTCATCTTGTCACAAAGAGGGCAAATGGTACCTTTCTTGTGTTCACAGGACATGATCCGAAACAAAGCAAGGAACACTCAAAACTGCGCCCTTTTGGAACAGGCCTACGCCATTGTTTCTGCACTCAACAGACGAGCAGAAAACAACCTTCATATTTCTCTCATTGAGAACTACCCTGGAACCCTGGAAATATTAGGGGAACCCATTCGGCAGGTAAATGAAAGATAGGCATCTCATTCTGACAACACATCTGTCTGCTAAGTCTCTCTCTCTTTTTTTAAAAAATAATTTTTATTATTATATTCTATACACCAATACACAAATAAAATATACAATCCTGCCACCATGGTATAATGTGATTACATTGTCCATAAATATAAAGTCATTCCTTTATACATACATATTTGCCATCATATACATACATCATCATATATCTATTCTATCCCACCTTTTCTGGAACCAATCATACCATAATTTCCAACTGTTATAAAATTCTGAATCTTTTTTACCATTGATCAATCTAGTTCATTGATCTGATTCCGCACACTCATTAATTTTATATATTATTTTCAAATCCATCGGTAAATATTGATTTTTCCACTCCTGCGCATATGCTAATCTTGCTGCAGTGATAATGTGAATAAACAAGAACCATATATCTGATTTAACATTCAAAGGTTTTGCCCCCAATAGGAAAATCTCGGGCCTTAATTCCAAATTAATCTGTGTAATTTTCAAAATCCATTGCCGTATTTTTTTCCAATATTTAACCGCCTGCGGGCAGGTCCACCATTGGTGAAAATAAGTTCCATTACTGTAACCGCACTTTCAACAGCAGGCAGAAGTCCTGGGAAACATTTTAGCTAATCTCGCAGGGGGGAGATGCCACCAGTAGACCATTTTATATATGTTTTCTTTGTATGAAGAAGCCGTGGTTAATTTCATATTTTTCAACCAAATCTATTCCCATTGCTGGAAGTCAAGGGGATATCCAAAATTTCACCTCCACGCTATCATACAATCCTTCACTACATCCTGTCCTATCTGCAGAGACAATAAATATGCATAACATTTAGATAGTATCCCTTTCCCTCCTTCTAATAAGATCTTATCCAATTCTTGTCTTTTACGGTAGATTCCTTCACTATATAAATCTTTTTTATACCTGGAGTGCACTTGAGAATAAGACCACCAGTCTATCTTATATCCTTGAAGAATTAATAATTCTCGTGACTTCGGATTACCCTGAACATCCCAAAAAACTTCATACGTCAAGGTTTTCTCCCCTTTATACAATGTCGGGTAAATCTGAGCTTCCTGCGCCGAAATCCAACATGGAACTTTTGAATATACTCTTCTACTAACCTTTTCCCAAGTGTACCCAAGCGTCCTACGTAAATAGTGATCATCAAAGTATCTAGGGCGGCCGGATGCTTCCGGCCATAGAAAATAGTGCCAGCCATGTTGAAGACCGGCTCCTTCAAATGTCAAAAGTCGTCTCTTTTGTAGGACCATCCATTCTTTCACCCAAATCAAGTTCGCTGCTTGGTGATAGAGCTCCCAATTTGGGAGTCCAAGTCCTCCTCTATTTTTGGGTTCTTGTAACATTTTAAGTCTAATCCACGGCCTCTTTCCCTGCCAGATAAATTTAGATCTACTCCTATCCAAATTTGTAAAAAACTCTTTATTCAACCTTACCGGGGCTGTTTGGAATAGAAATAACCATTTGAGTAACACGCACATCTTAATGGTTGCCACCCTTCCCAAAATTGATAGCTGGAGATTTTTCCATCTTTCTAGGTCTCTGAGCATCTGGCTGTAAAGCGGAAGATAGTTATCCTCCTTTATGGAGGAGCATCTGGCAGTCAACCATATACCCAGATACTTAATTTTATTTGTTATTCTTAAACCTATTAACTGCTCCAGCTGTTGCCTTTGCATCTGAGTCATATTTTTCGCTAGGATTTTAGTTTTTTCTTCATTCATCAGTAATCCCGCTACCTTCCCATACTCTCTAATCAAGCGTAATAATTTCAGGCCTGAGTCCAGTGGTTGATCCAAGATAAATACAAGATCGTCTGCATAAACCTGGGCTTTAACTTCCTCCTGCCTAATCTTCATTCCTCTTACTTCCGTGTTTCCTCTCACTTCTCTAAGCAGGGGCTCTAAAGTTAATACAAATAGCAATGGGGAAAGGGGACATCCCTGTCTTGTACCTCTACGAATTTGAATTCTCTCCGTCTCCTCTCCATCTATGAGAACTCTTGCAGTCTGCTCCCGGTAGATAGCTCGAATTGCCCAAATAAAATTCCCACCAAACTCCATATATTCCAATTGAGAAATCATAAATTCCCAACTGATTCTATCAAACGTCTTTTGGGCGTCAACAAAAATTAAAGCTAATTGTTTATTCGGGCGATTTTCAAAAAATTCTAGTGTATTCATGATAATTCTAAGATTATCTCGTAGATATCTATTAGGAAGGAAGCCGTTTTGGTCTGAATGAATGAATTGGTTAAGGAAGCAACTAAGCCTGGCTGCAAGAACCCCCGCAAATATCTTATAATTGGAATTTAGTAATGATATAGGTCTATAATTCTTAATAAGAGATAGATCAGTTCCTTCTTTTGGGATAATAGAAATATAAGCCTCAGTCCAAGATACTGGAACCTGAGCCTCTTTCATAACCGCATTGAATAAATCCGTCATGTGTCTTCCTACCACGTCAAACACTATTTTGTATAATTCAACTGGAAGGCCATCTCTACCCGGGGTTTTGCCATTCGCCCGTGCTTTCATAACTGTTTCTACTTCCTCCATTGTAAATTCCGCATTAAGAATTTCCTTCATTGTTTCCGAGACTTTAGGCAAGTCTGTCTTTTCCAAATATTTCCGAATTTCACAAATATTTTCCTCTCCTTTCTGATAAAGCTGTTTGAAAAAATCCTGAGCTACCATTCTCTTGCCTTCCTTAGTACAATGAAGATTCCCAATTACATCTTTCAGCCCTTCTATTCTCTGTTGTTCCTGCTCCTTTCTAAGCCGGTAAGCCAACCATCTTCCTGTTTTATTCGCCCTTTCAAAAAATTTTTGTTTAGTCCACTTTATTTTATTTGCTAATTCCTCTTGATCTAAAAATTTAATCTGGTGTTGCCAGTAATCCTTTTCCTCTATCAATGTTTTCTGGGTTAATCCATTTTGCATCCTTTCTTCCACCTGTTATAATTTATTCAAGAGGTTGTCTCGGTGTTTCTTACCCGCCCTATGTTTATCAATCATATATTTGATTAACCATCCCCTCATCACTGCCTTAACCGTATCCCATGTATTGTATATTGAAGTATCCTCTTTCTCATTTTCCTGGAAAAAAAGATATAACTCCTTCTTAAATTTACTCATAAATTCTTCATCTTTCAGAATACATTCTCCATCTACCCTTCCTACAATGTGGGATCTTCCAAGTTACCATTAGCAGGTTATGGTCTGCCCACTGGTTGGTCCCTATTTCCACTTCCGAGACCAACCCCCTCAACTCAAGAGACATCCATATCATATCTATTCAGGTCCACGAGTGGTGTCTGGGAGAGAAATAAGTATATTGATTTTTATTGGGATTTCTCAACCTCCATATATCCTGTAATCCAAATTCCTCCCTTAAATCATTACATATTTTTGGTAATGTTCTCTTAATATCCTTCAACCTTCCTTGTATGTTTCCCGGGACATAATCCTGCATTCTATCCGTTACAGCATTGAAATCCCACACTAAACAGACATGTTCATATTCCAGTTCCCCCAGTTTAACATATAAATTTTGATAAAAAGTCCTCTGATTGTCATTAGTGGCATAAATACAAACCAATAAAGACTTCCACTGGGCAATTTCTATTTCGAGCATGAGAACCCAGCCTTCCTGGTCAGCAAAAACCTGTTGGGATTTCAAATGATGTTGTACATATACCTGTCAGGTTTCGGTGCTATCTTAAATAAGTTTCATTTTCAAGCGCAAGATCTCTAATGAATCATTTTTATTTAAGAACAGAAAAAAACCCGACATTCCTGATTCAAGTTGTAGCCAAACTGGTTCCTCCTTCCAACCCCCTCCTCTTCCGCTCTCCAGCCCAATGTCCCATTGGCCATCATGCAGATCCATCTCTACGTCCCGGCACGTTCTTTTCACAGGAATGTGGCCCCCACCCTCGTCCCCCAGGAAACCCTATCTGTTGCATGCAGAAAACTAGGTAAAAGTTCATCTCAGCAATAAATCAACGCTTCTGGTCTTTGCTTCATCTTGTTCATGTCAGCGCTGGAAGAGAGCCTAATTTGGAACGCTGACATCCGGCCCCTCTCCCTTCACTTCTGCGACATCACCTATCCCATAGGGAAAAAACACAACAAGATAAATCTCATTAGCCCCTCCTTGGCTGTGCACCCCCCCCTCCCGGCTTCCCTGGGTGGTCTGCATGGAATTTTGCTATAATGCGATCTGCTTGGATGTTTGCGCTCTTCACCCAGGAAGCCTCTGACAACGGGTAGCCCTTCCATTTAATTAAGTACTGGAGGCGCCCCCTGTGCCATCTTGAATTTAGAATCCGCTGCACTTCGTAGTGTGTTTGGCCCCCAACAACCAAGGGTCCAGGGGGTTCATGTGGCGTTGGTCTTAAAGTAGACCCCACTACAGGTTTTAGAAGGCTACTGTGAAAAACGGGGTGAATTTTCCCCAAAAGCCGTGGCAACTGCAATTGCACTGTAACAGGGTTGATTATTTTTATTATAGGAAATGGTCCTATAAATTTTGGGCCCAATTTCCTGCTCGGGAGTCTAAGTCTCAAGTACTTGGTGGAAAGGTAAACTTTCTCTCCCAGCTGAAATGGTCTTTGGGGAGTTCGGTGCTTGTCTGCTTGTTCCTTATAAGATTGAGCCGCCTTTGCCAGCGCCCTCTTAACATTCTCCCAAGTTTGTCTCAACATTGCCATCCAGTCGGTCAAACTGACTGAGGAAGGGGGCTCCCTCGGGTATTCTGGCATGGGGACAAAATCCATGCCACTCACTATTTTGAACGGGGTTAGCCCCGTGGTGCTGTGGACAGCATTGTTATATGCAACCTCCGCAAAAGATAGGAGGTCTGCCCAATTGGACTGCTGGTAGTCGACGTAGCATCTTAAATACTGTTCTATCATAGCGTTCAGTCTTTCTGCCCCCCCATTGGTGCT